AATGGCAGTTGCGTGAAAAACAGTATGGCCAGCCACAGGAGTTCCAGATGTGTTCGTTGGGGCAGCTAGCTGTTGACTCTTTACCGAGGGCATTGGTTTCCTCCGTCATCCAATCACCAAATTGGGAATGAAGCAGGCGCCAGTGGCCACAACAACAATTAAATTGGCAGGAAACCGTGGTTGCATCTTGCCCTCTGCCTATTAGTTTTTTCTGTGTCTCGGTTTTCCATGCAGTTGTTGGCTAACCCTGTACAGGGTGTTGTGCTGGGAAGCAGAAGACAAGGGCTAACGTGTGGATGCCTGTCGCAAGTTCGTGCTCATATTTTCGGTTGCGAGCACAGACGCTGATACAGGTTAACTATGCATTTGCATGCTGTTTGCAGTGTTAGTTGACGAATCGTCACGCGGTGGGGTACCGTTTGTGGTTGGACGCCGCGTGGCTGCATTCCCCCAGGAACGCTATTAAGGACTGCTGCAAGTTAAGGACTGCTGCAACTCATAACTGGCCGCACGGTTGCTTCGCCAGCTGCGCAACTCTCTGCTGCTCAGTCTTGCAGGACCCCTGCCCCGCGACGACAGCATGAGAGGCCAGCTGTGGTAAGAAACCCTAATTAGCGTATCCCTTCTAATCCCGGTGGTTGTCCTAAACCATGTTTATATATGAGTGGGGAATGCCGTTGTAGGCATACCCTCCCCCAGATTCGTTCTCGAGAAGACTGTAATTCACTACAGCCAACTTGGTTTGGTTCAAAGTAGCAATCGAACGCTTTTGCCGTGGTTTATTTGCTCAAGTTTGTCTGACTAGGTGATACACTCTGCAGCTCCTGCTGTCGCCGAATGGACACAGCTAGCCGTTCGGTTGGTTCCAATAAAACTATGAGCACTCCCGCCTCAGATAGATGAGGATCAGTGAAGCGGGAGTGCCCAGAGCAAATGCGTTGAGGGATGGAATATATTACTATGAGCCTAATCAGCATAAGGAAGGGCGGAATAAGGAAAGCGATCGTCTGACTGTCATCGTTTTTTCCATTAAGGGAGTTGCAAACATTGCGCAAACGTCTATCTGACTGCAGCACTTTGGCCCTCAGACTATCGGTGGTTAAAGCCGGTCATGCCTTGTGGTGTACCCGATGATGCTTTACAGAGCAGCAGTTGATGGGAAGTGAGTAATTGTGTCACCATCCCCTTCCTGAAGGGAGGCAAGGGACGATTAGTGAGTGCCTGCTCTCCCGGTGCGGGACAACGTGATTGCTGCCGGCTTTTCTTGGTAGACCCAACACGAGTCCGTTGTGAAACCCGTCCAGATTCGATAAGGAATCGAAAGGCATATGAAGAAATCAGGTTGGACAGATGTCCGCCACTCTATCTGTTGACAATCTGTTCAAGGGCAGGCAACAGCTTTAATTGTTGTTGCGAACACAATAATGGGCAGCGGAAGTATGGTTTAGCTCTTTGTAGAAAATGGTACTTTCCCGTGTGGCTCAACGCTGTGTAGGATTCGTCGGTTGGCAAATGGGATTCATACCTACACTGTTGTGCCTAAGCAGCTTCCCGTTTGGGGGATTCGCACAACTGCATCGGCGTGAGGAATACACGAGTGAAAGGAGAACAGACTAGAAAAGGGAAAAAGAATGGCGGACAAACTCAGTTCTCGAGCCGATCCCCTTGCTGGTAGGAAGAACTCTTTCAGAATTAATGTAGCGATCCCTTCAATATAGACTCGCAGTGTGTGAGCGAGGAAAGTTTCGCCGGCAATTCTTCTGCAGTGGGAGTCTTGAAAACTTTTACACTGACATGCCTGCAGTGAATGCACTCCGCGAACCCCCTGACTATCCAACAGACAATGTAGGCCGCCTTTTTATGTCCAGCAGACCATGTATAGGTGGTTTTGATGTATTGCAATTCTCTTTTCTGTTTGCATTGAACAGTGAGAATTTCAGGCAAATATTGATTGTTTTTTCCTACTTGTGGCCAGAAAGAGCAGGCATTCCGATATAGTAGCTGCTAGATATGCGTAACTTGCGGTGTGAAGCAACGGTGGAGCGCACGACAAATTCCCAGTGATAATACCAGCATGTTGTTCCTTAGTCTTTGCTCATTCAGTCATATTGCGCTTGTGTCTTGCGTAGATCCGCTGACGGAGTGCCGGTATCACGGACCCCACATATAGGGCTGCCTATACGGCAGCGCTATTTGAGGGATCCGTGATACCAGGGAAAAAAGACAAAACTACTATAGTGCGATGGCGACAAACTATTGATAGTCCAGGCAGGGGTACTGGTGACTCGTCCAGTTATTAGCGCCGTGTACCCTTTGTGTATCCGCCTGAATTCCTATCGGAAACCTCGAAACAGGGAGTAAGTATCTGCCTGAACAAATGCAGTAACCTCCGCCAGCAAAAACTGAAGGCGGCAAAAAGAACTATAACGGTTACCTTTTCTATCACCCCTACAATAAACCCAGTGTTTCTGACGAATCGCCCACAGGTAACGCCGCAGGTTCTGCGAATACAGTTGAGTATTACGGCCAACCAAAAGTAAATCTTCCCTATACAATGATCGATGCCTTCGGTGTACCCAGCATATGGCAATATACCGGGAACCACAGGTCGGTTGCTGCACAAACAATGCAGGATGGGCGCAGCATTACTCGGACTGCCTGATGGTAGACAGAATATGCACTGTCAGCCACTATTCATCCCGCCAAAACCATCACCCTGCGTCAAATGAATTGACTGCTGGCCTTTCCACGGGGTCAACTGCTGTGTGCAGATGTGTGTGCAGAGCACCGCTGACTGTCGCCTCATCGTAGGTGCTGTTTTCTGCTGTACTACGCAGGGATCCCCTCGTTTCCTCCTGTTCGACCAATGGTTTATAATCATAACCTTGAGATGTACACTCGTTTTGAGAGTGAAGGTTGCGAATGCGGAAGTGCTACGAGGGCCTCTGGCGCAAAATTGCACTGCTCGGCACAGCGGACACTCGTTAGGTTGTGAGGAGTCGGTCGAACGTGAAATCTCGAATCACTGCAGTATGACCCGTCTACAAAATAGACCCATGACACTGCTTCTAGTACTTCGGGAGAGCAGGCACAAAGTCAGAGATACTCCACAAATCCACAGCTACTCACCCCTTTGAGAACCACGCACCGAGCCACTCTAATGGGATATCTGATCCGAGAGTTGTAGATGGGTAAGCCAAGTAGTGGTAACCGTAAACCTCCGTTATGTGCATTAAACGTTTTTAATTTGGCATGCCGCTGTTCGGTTCTAGAGCTGGTTACCTTCATCGCTGCGTTTACCAGAGTATCTCCAAACTATCGACGAGCTGCAAAAGTGTAGTATCCTCGCTGCGATAATAGCTACCATTGTGGTGGGCGCCTTTCTAATAAAATGCGTGCCAAGGGCAACCGTAACTCAACTCCTGACGAACAGCTCGTCGGCGTGTCATGATATGCAGAAGACCGAAAAATGTGGCAGCACTTCCGATTATGTTACAACAGGAAGAAAATATGCGGGCAGGGTCGTTGGTCGCTTTCTCACCGTAGTGTCGGTTCCGATGGAGAAGACTTGGGAACATAGGACAAGAGGCTTGGGGTAATACACAATGATTTTTTGACTTCTTGCGAATGCATCCCAGGTGCCAGACCTACGGCCCAGCTCGCCTAGCTGCAGGAGTTGTGTTTCTGCTGGCTGCACGTACCCCAATGCAGTGCTGCGCTACCCAGGGTAACACGCGTCATCGCTGGTAGCAGTGGGTCGCCCTCAGCTGACTTTCCCCCCCAAAAGATCCACGTAGGAATCTTCCCTAAGAAACTGACTTTTTCCCCCATCTGCTTTAGCCTTTGGCATCGCAGCCAAAGGGCCTAGGGATAGCGCAGAGGGGCCGAGGGCTGTCCTGTGTGCTGCTCTGCCTATTGGAACTTGTGCTTCACGAAGACAAAACAGAAGAGCACACCCAAACTCCCGTGCTGCTCTGCCTATTGCAACTTGTGCTTCACGAAGACAAAACAGAAGAGCACACCCAAAGTCCCTCCGCTGCATGCAGCATCGTCAGTGTATACAGTCTTGCTAAAGCCTTGTTCCTCCTCGGTGCTATCCTAGGTAGGCATGGGGAGCCCCTTGGATAGAAAAGTTTATTCCAGAATTATATATAATCCATTATTTGGATAACTAAATTAAGAGAGGAGAAGAAGAGAACACAAAAGTTGTATACACGAGGACGAGTAACTCCCATTGAATGTCCAGTGGAGCGGGCGGTGGTCTGTGGGGCTGTCGACACACGGGTGGTGGTTGTTCTTTGTGTGTAGCTAAAAAAAAGGGGAAACTCCATCGAAATAAAATAAAGAATATATTAATCTATTATATTGGGCCCCCCTAAAGACCCAATGTTAAAGCATAGTCACGGACTGCCTCCTGCCTAGGGGGGAGGAAGCGGGGCCCCAGTAGTTGCAGCACAGCCCCGCCGCCGCCATTTTCTTGTTAACTATGCTAATGCTCTGGCGCTGCATGTGTTTTAAATAATTATAATTAATTCTTTAAACTCTCCGCAGCTGGAGGAGGGTCGGTCCTAGCGGATTTATGCAGCAAACGCTGTGTGCAGCACATCCTTGAAGCCTCCAGCAGGAACACACAACAACCCCCACCACCAGCAACAGCAGCAGCACTCGAGAAGCAGTAGCAGCAACAGCAGCCGCTGCTGCTTCTCGACTGCATCTGTAGCTCGGGATGGAGACATGGATGTCCTTACACCTCAGCCCAGTGCATAGCGGGCTGTTTGTCTTATCAACAGATCTGCAGATCCTTACAGCGCCGCGGTGTATGGATAGGCGTCTATGACTGTGGAGCATGTAGCCCGATAAAGTCCTGGTGCTGCTATTGCTGCTGCACGTGGACCGGTGCTGCTGCTGCTGCTGCTGCTGCTGCAGGTGGGGCTGGGGGGTTGCATGCATTAGTTTGGGCAAAAGCAGTGGGGGTGACGTCTGCCTCCGAAGACGCAGAAATGCAAGCTGAAAAGGATGCCTCAGCAATGCTGCTGCTGCAACCGCAGCAGCAGGGGCAGGAGCAGCAGGAGGAGCAGCAGCAGGGGCAGGAGCAGCAGGATGAGCAGGAGCAGCATCAGGAGCAGGAGCAGCAGCAGGAGCAGGACCACAAGCAGGAGCTTTCCACTGCAGCGGGGAACTCCGCAGAGGCACTCACAGCCACTCCCAGCCCACAGCAGCAGCAGCAGCAGATGATGATGATGCAGCAAGCAGAGCAACAGCCGAAACAGGAGGAGCAACAGCATACTCCTCAGCTTCTACAGCCCCACAACCATGCCCACCAACAGCAACAGCAACAACAGCAGCAACAGCAGCAGCAGCAGCAGCAGCAGCAGGAAATAAATGGTATAATAACATGGAATGTGGCGGGTTGGCGTTCAGCAATAAATTCAATAAAAAAAGATTTTCTTTCTTTGGATAAATTTCTTCTCTTTTTATACTGTGATGTATTCTGTATACAGGTATTTATTTATTTATTTATTTTATTTATTTATTTATATTTAATTGATTAACTAATTAAATATAAATATATATTTATATACATTATTTATTCATTTATTTTGCCTCTTTTATAGTATATATATGTTTATTATATAATGTTGTATATAATGTATATATTGTATGTATATATTGTATGTATATATACATAAGTACATACTCTACGTGATGCTGCTGCTGCTGCTGCTGCTGTTGCTGCTGTTGCTGTTGCTGCTGCTGGTGCTGCAGGAGGCAAAGACAGGAATAAATTCGTTATCTGCTGATCCTCGATCTGTTGGTGCAACACTAAGAGGCTATGAAACCTTCTGGTCTTGCTGCAGTAATCATGCAAGAAGAGGACTCATGGGTACTCCTGCTGCTGCTGCTGCTGTTGCTGCTGTTGCTGCTGCTGCTGTTGCTGTTGCTGCTTCTGTTTCGGGTCCATTTGCTGCTGCTGGAGGTGCTGCTGGTGGAATTGTTTGCTGCTGTTACTCATGCGGTTGTACATATGAACTGTTTTCTCTTATTCACTAGGGTGCTGCTCTTGCTGCTGTTGCTGCTGTTGCTGCTGTTGCTGCTGCTATTGCTGCTGCAGGATACAGTGGAGTCACCACGATTGTACGGGAGGGTTTGACATGCAGGGCAGACTCGCAGCCCTTTAGCCGTTTCCTCCCCCCCCTACAGCCAGCAGCAGCAGCAGCAGCAGTAACAGCAACAGCAGCAACAGCAACAGAAGCATCCACAGAAGGTGCAGACCCTAGTATAAGCCCAGCAAATACAGAAGCGGCAGAAACAGCAACAGAAAGCACCACAACAGCAGCAAATGCAGGAACTGCAGCAACAGCAGCAACAGCAGCAGCAGCAGCAGCAGCAGTAGATTTGTCCGATGTATTTGTCTCCCTTGGCTACCCCCAAACCCTTGGTGGTTCATCATTTCGCTGCAGGCCTCTCCCCGTCAGCTGCAGCAGCACAGCAGCAGGAGCAACAGCAGCAGCAGGAGCAGCAGGAGGAACAGGAGGTGGGCCCCATACGCATATGGATGCAGAGGGTAGGGCCCTTATAACAGAGCATGCAGGATTAATTATTATTAATGTTTATTCTCCTGCTAGTGGTTATTGTTGGGGAAGACTTCCTTATAAACTTCATTTCTTACATGGATTAAGGGCATTACTTATACAACAAAGGTAAATAAACCCTAAGCCCTAAACCCTCGTAAACCCTAAACCCTAATAAACCCTAAACCCTTTTAAACCCTAAACCCAATTGCATGCATGCATGCGTTATTTGTGTTTTTGGGGCTTTTTTATTTAGGTTGTTGCGTCGCAAGCCAGTGGTGTTATTAGGAGATCTTAATGCAACAACAAACTGCAAAGATGTGTCCGTCCTTGATGCTGTTGTCAACCTTCGTGACTTATGGCCAGCCCCACAGGCAGCAGCAGCAGCAGCAGCGGGAGCAGCAGCAGCAGCAGCAGAAGGATGGCAGCCATGCGCAGCACTGTCACCCTCGCTGCAGCAGAAGCTGCAGAAGGGGGGCCCCCTTATAGAGCGTCTATTAAGAGATCCACAGACGTATGAGATAAGGCAGTCTCAGGCTGCTGCTCCTAAGCAGCAGCAGCAACAGCAGCAGCAGCAGCAGCAGCAGCGGCAGCAAGCGGGCAGACGGCGTCAGGGTTTGTTTCGCTTTTTCCTTAAACCGCCAGGGCTAAGGCCAAAACAAATAGGGAGACCCTTGTAAGAAATATAATAAATAAATAAATATAATAAATAAAATAAATAAATAAATAAATAATATAAACAAAATAAATAAGCGAATAAATAAATAAATGCTTATACTTGTTGTTTGCTCTTCTTCGTTGTCATCCACTTGACGGGTTTGTTATCTTGCTGTATTTGTTCGTTTGCTGCTGCTGCTGCTGCTGCTGCTGCTGCTGCAGTGATTCGGAGGCAGAGGCACGCATGCATCTATCTTTGTCTGCATGGGAAGTCCCTGTGACTAAAGAGACAATTTGTGGGGTCGCCTCCTCCCCACAGCTTGTCGTGGAGTCGCCTCTGGGATCGCCTAGGGGACCGATCCCGGGATCGGGATCGGGATCGCCTGCGGGATCGATCCCAGGATCGGGATCGCAACCGGGATCGTCTCCGGAATCAATTTCCGAGTCTCAGGGATCGACTCAGGGATCAACTCAGGGATCGACTGTGGGATCGTATGCGGGATCGTCTCAGGGATCGTCACTGGGATCGTCTGTGGGATCGTCTGTGGGATCGTCTGTGGGATCGTCTGTGGGATCGTGTGGTGTTGGTGTTACGGAGTGTGGGGCGGAGGCATTTAACTTTCGCTTCCTCTGTAGACTGCCGCTAAGCAAAGGAGAAGAAAAAGAAGAAAAAGGAGAAAAAGAAGAAGAACATAAAGAGACAATTGAGTGTATCTACGCATACACTGTAAGGATCTTATTATTATATATGCTGCTGCTGCTGCTGCTGCAGCTTCTGGTGCTGCTGCTGCTGCTGGTGTTTAACACTTCTACTGTAGCAGCAGGAGCAACAATATTATATATTATTATAATATCAGCAGCAACAATAAAATAATAATTATTTTATTTATCTATTTTATTTATTTATTTATTTATTTATTTATTTATTTATTTATTTATATTGCAGCCTGATGGTAAAGGAGGAAGAAGTTGGATATGCAAGGAAGCAAATCGTCTGTCTTTGCTGCACTTAGCTGATTGCTTCAGCGCTATTCAGGTAAGCAGCAGCAGCAGCAGCAACAGCAGCAGCAGCAACAGTAGCACGTGCAAATGGGGCTGCATGCATTATGCCTATAGTGCATACAGTCGCTATAAAAAACGGCAATTAGGGTTTAGGGTTTACATGAGGGCTTAGGGTTTAGGGTTTAGGGTTTAGGGTTTGTGAGTGTTCTTTTTTTTGTGTTTTTAACGAAAAAAATAAATAAATATTATTAATTATATATTTAATTAATTAATTTAATTAATTTAATTAATTTAATTAATTTAATTTATTTATTTACTTTATTTACCTGCAGATGCCTCTTACTCATGAAGAAATATACCAGGTGTATGTACACCTGGGGAGATCTAGTCATTCTTCTTGTGTTATTAAATACATGCAAAGTCTATTAAAGGATGATGGCATGATAGATACTTTTGCTGCTGCTGCTGGTGCATGCACCAGCAGCAGCAGCAGCAGCAACAGCAGCAGCAGCAATTGCTTGTCTTGGGTAGGGGCGTATACAGCATGGGATCAATACACAAATAAGAGATATACTAATGAGGTAATTTATTCTTTTTTTTCCTTTTTTTTTCTTTTCTTTTTCTTTTTATTTAATTTATTCTTAATAATAATTATTATTATTATTTAATTAATTTATTCTTTTTTTTTCCTTTTTTTTTATGTATTTGTTTGTGTATACAGGGAGCACGTATAGATTTTATTCTTATAGATAAACCTCTTCTTCCTTTTCTTTATCCAGAGGCAGCAGCACCTCCTCCTCCTCCTCTTGTTGGCCTTTGTCCTTGTATGCTGCTGCTGTTGCTGCTGCTGTTGTTGTTGCTGCTGCTGTTGTTGCTGCTGCTGTTGCTGTTGCTGCTATGTTTTTTGCATTGCTGCAGCAGATTTACTTCTTAATTTTTTTATTGCATGCATTTGTTGCTGCAGCTCATTGGCATCCTCATCACCTTCATAATCAGCAGCAGCAACAGCAACAGCAGCAGCAGCAGCAACAGCAGCAGCAGCAGCAACAGCAGCAGCAGCAGCAACAACAGCAGCAGCAGCAGCAACAACAGCAGGAATATTTATCATTTGTCGAGTACCAAAGAGCAGCAAAAGCAGCACTACTACGAGCAACAGGCAATGGCTTATGGGTTGGGGCCCCAAGGGAGGGAGGGGGGCTGCATGCAGGTGTTGCTTCTTGGCTGCAGCACACAACAGCATCAGAGAAGCAGCAGCTGCTGCAGCAACGCATGCATCTTAATCCTGCATGCACGGGGCTTGTTTATTTGTCTCCCTTTTATAGTGATCATATAGCAGTAAGATGTGTCCTTAGACGCAGCATTAGCAGCAGCAGCAGCAGCAACAGCAGCAGCAGCAACACTGCAGCAGCAGCAGCAGCAGCAAATATATTATTGGGTCCTTGTACTCTATTACGTGACGAAGCAACAAGGAAGACACAACCACATAAAAGAACAAAAGACATAGGCGCATTTATGCACCTCTCTGCTTATAATAAACCCTCTGCTGCTGCTGCTGCTGCTGCTGCTGCAGCAGCAGCAGCAGCAGCAACAGCAGCAAATGTTGCATCAAGTGATGCTGGTGAACCTGCTGCTACTGCTGCTACTCGGGCTGCAGCAGGAGAGGAGAGGGGAGTTGCTCATAAGAGACAACATCAGCAGCAGCAGCAGCAGCAGCAGCAGCAGCAGCAGCAGCAGCAGCGGAAAACAATGAGGATTGTTGCTATATATACGCCGCATAAACAAACAAACAGGTCAGCAGCAGACAAACATAAAGCAGTAGCAGCAGCAGCAGAACCAGCAGCAGCAGCAGCAGCAGCATCAGCACCAGCAGCAGGTAGTGCATGCACTTCCCTGCAGCGGGAGGCGAGCGACAATGATGAGATTGAGTGTATCGACTGCAGCAGCAGCAGCAACTGCAGCAGCAACTGCAGCAGCAACTGCAGCAGCCCTGCTTCCAAAGAGAAGCGTGCATGCAATACCCACAAAGACACACGTAGCCATTTAAATCCCCCTGCTGCTGCTGCTGCCGCTGCTGCTGCTTCTGCTGCTGCTGCTGCACCTGAGCCTCGTAGGAGAAACACTTCTAGCATAAGTCGCACCACCTTTAACGGCAGCAGCAGCAACAGGAACAGCACCAGCAGCAGCAGCAACAGGAGCAGCACTAGCAGCAGCAGCAGCAGCAGCAGCAGCAAAAACAGCAGCAGCAGCAGCAGCAGCGGGAAGAAAGGGGGCAGAGGACAAACAGACCTACGTAGTTTTTTTGGATATGTTAAACGTTAGCTGCCTATACACCCCAATATAAATAATTTATTTATTTATTTATTTATTTATTATTTATTTATTTATTTATTTAATTTATCTTTTTTTGTTTATTTATTATTATATATATTTATCTACAACTTTTAATTTATAATTAAATATGTACAATTAATTTATTTATCTATTTATATTATTATACATAAATATATAATTAATTAACTAATTTATTTATATTATATATATAATATATATTGTATATATTTACGTATATTTATACATATACGTAGTAATATGTATACATATAATATATAATTAAATCTCTATAAGGGTTAGATATGGTTAGATATACAAATAAATAAATAAAGTAAATAAATTAATAATAAATAAATAAAATAAATAAATAAATAAAAATTTAATATGGAGAGATCAGTGCATGCAACAGCAGCAGCAGCAGCAGCAGCGACTGGCAGCCCCAAAGAAGAGGGGGGAGCAGCAGCAGCAGCAGAAGATAATTGTTATTAAATATTGGATATTATAATTTATTTTTTATTTTTTTTTAATTTATATAATTAATTTTAATTAAATTAATAAAAAAATAATATATTTACTGCATGCATTGTATATTTTTGGGGCTTTCTTATACATGCATGCATGCATGCATGCATCATTAGAGGTGTGTGCATGTATAATACGAAGAAAAAATAAAAAATATATTAATTAATTAATTAAATAAAATAAATAAATAATATTAATATTTAGTTTATTATACAGATGAATTAAAAATACGAATAGTTTGCTGCTGTTATACTAATAATAGACCACTAGTCTGCTGCTGCTGCTCCTGCTGCTGCTGCTCCTGCTGCTGCAGATCTGCTGCTGCAGATGGCAGCACATAGAAACAAATGCAGAGAAAAAATACAAGGAAGAAGGGATGAGCATATAGGGGATAAATAGCAGCATATAGAGCTGCCTACACACCCCATAGCTGCTGCTGCTGCTGCTGCTGCTGTCGCTGCTGCTGCTGCTGCTGCTGCTAGTAAATAATAATAAATAAATAATAATAAGAGGCAATGGCACCTAAGAAAGAGAATTATTCCTCTAAATGTACCAAAGAAAACAAAGAAGAAAAAGAAAGAAAATTATTTTGTAGGAGAGCCTCTCCCCTAGATGCTAAGCTTGTGTGTGAGCTGCTGCAGCAGCAGCAGCAACAGCAGCAGCAGCAGCAGCAGCAGCAGGAGCAGCCGCAGCTGCAGGAAGAAAATAATATTTCTTCTTTATTAAATATGTATGGTTTATCCTTACCTAATAATAATAATAAAGAAAAAAAAGAAGAGAAAAAAGAGGAAAAAAAAGAAGAAAAAAAAGAAGAAAATAAATTATTAATGTATATAAAGGATTTATTATGTATATCTTTTTTATCTCTTTTATGTATTGATGAACAAGAAGGAAGAATAATAGGTTTTTTATCCTTAGGACATTCTCCTTTATTTGCTGCTCCTTTTGCTGCTGCTGCTGCTGCTCCTCCTTCCTTAGCAGCAAATCATAGACTGCAGCACATCTGCAGCACGAGTATAAATAAGCAACTTTGCTGCTGGCCTCAGCTATTGAGCAGCAGGTGTACATACACTAGAGGGAGGGGAGGTGCTGCTGCAGCAGCAGCAGCAGCAGGAACAGGTGCAGCAGCAAACGATGAGGATATATGCGACAGCAACAACTCTAGCAGCAGGAGCAGCAGCAGAGGAAGCAGCAGCAGCAGGAGCAGCAGCAGAAGTACTCATACAGATGATGAGTGCAACAGTCAGCCCTGTAACAATGACGGCAGTAGCAGCAGCAGCAGCAGCAACGACAACAACAACAGCAGCAGCAGCAGCAGCAGCACAGACCCAACATCTTGTGTTACTTACCTACAAGACGGCAGCAGCATTACTCCAACAAATACTCTATGGTTACATTTATTTGCATGCATGCAGCCCCATCAAACAAATGCATGCAACAGCAGCAGCAGCAGCGACAGCAGCGACAGCAGCAGCGACAGCAGCAGCAGCAGCAGCAGCAGCAGCAGCAAGCCCCACCATAGACCTGCAAATATACTAAGAGTTATGCTAGAGAGTGTCTTCGCATCCAACTACGAACTACAATGGATACTATGGCTATATAGGTAAGCATGCATGCATGGACTGTTGCATGCATGCATGCATGTATAGATGCGTACATGCATGCATTGTTGCTTGCATGCATAAATGCATGCGTGTATGCTGGTTTGTTTGTTTGTTTGTTTGTTTGTTGGTTGCATGTATGCATGCATGCATGCATTAATAGGAGAACGCGTATGTATGTATGCATGCATCTATGCATTAATAGGAGAACGCGTATGTATGTATGCATGCATGCATGCATTAATAGGAGAACGCGTATGTATGTATGCATGCATGTATGCATGCATGCCTGTTGCATGCGTTAGTAAATTAATGCATGCATGGATGCATGTCTGTTTGTTTGCATGCGTGTATGGGGCTGTACAGGAAGGACTTGCATGCAGCGCATTTAGGGAACATCAGCAGCAGCAGCAGTAGCAGCAAACGCAGCAGCAGCAGCAGCAGCAGCAGCAGCAACTGTAGCTGCAACAGTTGTTTCTTACTACAGGAAATATCTTCTGTCTTCTCTACCTTATCTAACCCCTCTACCTTATCTAACCCCTCTGCTGCTCCCCCTGCTGCTGCTGCTGCTGCTGCTGCTGCTGCACCTGATGCTGCTCCTGATGCTGCTCCTGTTGCACCTGCTGCAGTATTTGCTGCTGCTGCAGTATGCGCATGCAAAAGGCAGCAACTGCTGCAGGATATAAAAACAAGAAGAGCAGCAATAGAAGATTTAGATGATTTATATTTAATATTTAATAAACAAACTTTGCTGCAGTCTTCTGTATACGGAGAATATTTTCTTGCTG